TCCCTCCATTAACCCTCATAATCACCATCACCCAGCACAATTGAAACAAGCAAACAAATAGAAAACCTCACAAAACCATAATTCAAAAGCCTTCTACCAGCTAAAACCTTCCACCCTCCTACAAACTCTCACTCTGCCCAAAAGCACTGATACCCCTCACTATGATAGTTATTCTCTCCACAAAAAATAAAAAAAATCAATCAAGCCATAATAAACAGAAACCCAAGAAAATAGAACCATCCAATCTCATGACCTCTTTATTCGACCAAACACCCACCTAAACCAAGAACCTAAAAATCCCTTTCATTTTTCTTTCCAAAAATTAAAAAAAAAACTAAAATATTTGATTGGATGTATGCTTCTTTCCTTTTATCATTTTATTATGTCATGTTATTAATTGGTTTTAATTTAAATAATATAGTTTCATGACTTATAAAAAAATTATATTTTTAGATAAAATAAAATGATATTTTTTAATAAAAAATAATTTTATAGGCTTTACCTAGATTTGGAGAGAATCTATATAATTATCTTTTATTAAGAAATATTATCTTTACTTTAAAAAATTATTATATAAATTTCTTAAGTGAAAGATTGATTTTTTTTAATTCCACTTAGATATTGAAAAATTAAAAATAAATAATTTTTTTAAAACACCGAAAATTCCATTGCCATCATGAATAAAATTTACCTAAAAAATATAATTACATGCATTATTTAATTCATTTTCACATATGCATTTCTTGCATTAATAATAAATGGAGAATGGTAAGGTAAATTTTTTTTTTTAAAAAAAGGTTCTTTTTGGAAAAATAGAATAATATTTCAAAAATAATTTTGGAAACTTTACCTAGATATTGGAGGGAATTAAAGTCTTTTTTTTTAATTAATCTTGAATTTTAAAGTGAATGATTAATTTTCTCAAATTTCATCTAAATATTGGGGAATTAAAGAAATTTTCCAACACAAAATAAATAAAATTTCTTTTATCCTTGATTTCCTTTAAAAGGGGATAATGTTAAAAAAAGAAAATTAAATAAATATAAAATGGATCAAATTGGTCATTTGCATCTTTAACTTATATTTGCATCGTCCATCTGCTTCATATGATATTGCTTGCATTTAATCATTTTCAAAGAAACATAAATTAAGAAGTAATGATTTTGGAGAATTATTTTAAATAAAAAACTAATATTCCTATGTAAAAAAAAAAATTGTTGGGACCCTACCTGGATATTGGAGAGCTTCTCAATAATTATTATTTATAAAAGAATATTATGTTAAGTCTTTAAAGGATTTAGTGTGAAAGTCCTAAGTAAATAAATATTCTTCAAAGTTTTACCTAGATATTGGAGAATTAAAAAATGTTTCAATACTAAAGATTTTCATCTTAGTCTAAATAAAAGGTTCTAAAGTTTCTAAAATGGGATTTTTATGAAAAAAATAAATTTTGATGGAATCATTTTTAAATATTAGAATTTAAACCATTTTTATCAATAGTAACGATAACATATGATCAATTGGTACCAATTTTTTGGGGCACTGTAGGGTATTAATCATTCCTCATACATAATCAATTTTCGAATACAACTCTGTTTTCGTAGACCAAATTTGTCTTTTCAATAAATTTTAAACTCATTTTATTGTTTTATTAAAAAGATAAACTTTTTAGGTGATCAATCACACTTAGCAAAAAAAGATTGATGACGACTCCCCTTGTTTTAAAACTTTTAAAATTTTTGTCTAGTGATCTCCAAAACCGTTATGACATCCACAGTTCAACCAAAGCAATTATCTTGAGCTTTTGAATCTAAGTCACACATCCCTCTCTAGATCACTACCTGATTCTTTGGGCAATCTACGGTATTTGAAGTATTTAGATTTATCAAAGACTTTTTTATCTAAAGATTTGCCTAACTTAATTGGTAGTTTAGTTTCATTAAAGCAATTGGATTTATCAAGCACTTTTGTCTTTAAAAGACTGCCAAACTCAATTGGTAACCTAATTTCCTTAGGTAGTATTTTGTATGGGAAGATCACTTTAAAAACCATAGTAATAACACATGATGATTAGATCATTATGTTTGGTAAACATTTGGTGATCCTGCATGATAGTGATCTTGGATCACCTAGAGTGATCAAATCACTATCATATAAGGTGATGTAATTTTCGTACAAAAAGGTGAAAAACTTTTATCATTGTAGTGAAATGATATGTAAAATTAATAGTTGTCAGTTTTACTCATTTAATATATGAATTAAAAATTTGCTGCTACTTAAATTGTAATTATTTTACATTATAAATTTTTATATTTTCAAACTAATATTCATTATAACAAGTTTAAAATAATTACATTTTTTTATTTTTTTAATATTTAATATTTATTTTTATTTTTCTTTTATTATGAATTTAATAGATTGTTTTATTTTCTAATTCAAGTATTTTTACTTAATTTATATTATAAAAATTAATTTACTTATCAATAAATGTTTATTAATTTAATAATTTAATTATATTTTATTATAAAATAAATAACTATTACTAATATTTTATAAATTATTATCTATAAACAACCTTAAAAATAGTAATTTGTGTAACTATTACAGTATGCATGGTTATTTTGTATTTAACATAAAATAATATTTGATTTTTAGTAATATAAAATATAATGATCTTTATTTCCTAAGAATTAATTATTGTTAACCAAACAAAGTAATTTTAAATTACAAATGTTAAGATTACTTTGGTAATAAAATCACCCCGATAATTACATTACTATGATGATTTTGCAAAAGATACCAAACTCTACCTTAAAAGAATTATTACTCCGAAAATATAATTTTTTAGGAATAATTATGAGATCACTGGGGAACCTATTGCAACTCAATCATTGGACCTCTGGATGAATCAATTTAGAGGAAATTTTCCATCTTCACTCACAAACCTAACTCAAGTTGAATTCTTAGACATTGCTAGAAATCAACTTCAAGGTCCCATTCTTGATAAGGTAACTGTTTTTCTTGATCTACAATCTCTTGATTTATCTTCCAATTTTTTTATTTGGAACACTCCCATAATGGTTGTATACAATTTCCTCTTTGAAGTCCATAAATCTTAAAGATAACCAACTCAATGCTCATATAAGGCAATTCCAATACAAATCATTGGAAGATATACATTTAGGCAATAGTAAACTCCAAGCTCTTATTCCATTTTCAATATCCCAACTTGTGAATCTTGTTTGGCTTGATTTATCATCAAATAATCTAAGTGGTATTGTAGAGTTTGACATGTTAACTCTAAAATCTCCTATACTTTCATCTTTCATATAATAATCTATCCTTAAACTCTAATAGCAGTTCTACTAATTATATATTACCTAATCTTCAATTTTTTGTATTTGTCTTCTTAGCATGTCAATGAATTCCCCCAATTTTTAAGAGGCTCAAAATTTTTATCAGATTTAGATCTTTCTACCAATAGAATTTATGGCAAGATTCCTAAATGGATGTGGGGTGTTGGGAATGACTTTTAAGGAATCTATCTCACAACTTTTTGACAGAATTAGAGCAATTTCCATGAAAAAATGTTGAAACTATTGACCTGAGCTCCAATTTCATTCAAAGAAATCTTCCTATTCCACATTCGATAACAAATGCCTTTTTTATCTCTAATTTCATTCGAAATGTGAGTTCTCTTGAAATTCTAGACATGATTCACAATAGTTTGAGTGTAATTATTCCACAATGTTTAGGAAATTTAACCAAAAGCCTTTGGATGTTGAATCTATGTTTGGAACCATTCCTTCAACATTTGCAGAGGAATGTCTATTGGAACATCTCAACTTGAATGGTAATCAATTGGAAGGGCCATTAACACATTCCATCCTCAGAAGTGCAAGTGTACAAGTGCTAGATCTTGGCAAAAATAGATCGATGATACATTCCCTTATTGGCTAGGAACTCTTGGAATTCTTTAAGAGCTACTAGTTCTTGTATTGCATTCAAACCAATTGCACAGTTCTATACATGACACAAGTCATGCTCATCCTTTTCCCATGTTGTAATTTTTTACCTCTCCTACAATAGTTTTACTGGACAATTGCCATCTATATACATAAATAATTTCAATGCTATGATGAATGTCAAAGAAAGTAAAGATGTTATTCTGTATATTGGGGCTTTGGGTTGGAACTGTAACACCCCAATCTCACATCAAAAATTTCAGAGGATCTAATATAATATATAACTAGAGGCTTAAACCTAAACTTGTAAGGTGTCTTTTGTGGGATAAAATTGCAAGACCTTAAAAAAAGAGTCAAAGTGGACAATACCTCGCAGATTTGGTGTGAGTTTAGACAAATGGTATTAGAGCAGTCATCAGTTAGACGAGAGCTAAATGTTACACCATGGAAGCCACCTCTAGAATCCTACGAAAACTAAGTGCTACACAATGGGAGCCACTTAAAAAATCCTAACATTTGGTGTAATCTTGTGATCTATGTGTGCTTTGTGTTGGGCTTACCCAACATTTTGTGCGATTCGATAGATCCGTGTACTCTTCTCTAGAATCTTGGAGGAGCTAAGTGCTACACAATGGGAGCTACTTCTAGAATTTCAACATCTGGTGTGATCCTATGATTTGTATGTGCTTTGTGTTGGGCTTATCCAACATTTGATTTGATTCGGTAGATCTGTGTGCTCTTTGTTGGACTTGACAGGGATATCAAGTTTTAACGAAAAAAATTTATAACACCCCAATCTCATATCGAGAGTTTCAAAGGATCTATTATAATATATAAGTAAAGGCTTAGACCTAAACTTGTGAGATACTTTTTGTAAGATAAAACTGTGAGAATTTCAAGTCAAAGCGGACAATATCTCATAGGTTGGGTACAGATTTCCACAAGAACGGTAATTTCTACAATTACTTTGTTTATATGATAGTAAAAAAGATTTGGATGTTGAATTTATCAAAGTTTTTGCCGCATTAACAATAGTTGATCTATCAAGTAACAAGTTTCAAAGAAAGATTCCAAAGATTATTGGAAAGCTTAGCTCGGTCATTGGGCTTAACCTATCTCATAATAATCTTATTGGTCATATTACACCATTATTTGGAAATTTGATCAATCTTGAATGGTTAGACCTATCGTTAAACAAGCTTGATGGCAAGAATCCAGAGCAATTGCTGAATCTAAAATGGCTTTCTTTCTTAAACCTTTCCGACAATGAACTTGTTCGGCGCATTCCACAAGGCAAACAGTTCAGCACATTTGAGAACAGTTCCTATGAAGGGAATGCAAGATTATGTGGTTTTCCACTCTCTAGAGATTGTAGCAGTAATCAAGCACAACAGCCACCAGAAAAAGATCACTCAAAATCTGAAATCAGATTTGGGTGGAAAGTTGTGTTGATCGGATATATGTCTGGATTTACGTTTGGATTGGCCATGGGATATGTTGTGTTTCGAACTGGAAAACCAAAATGGTTTGTGACCTTGGTTGTAGGCAAATGTCATCGAAGGACAAAAAAGTCATCACCAATGGCTCACTGCAAATGACATTCATGAAAGCACTTTCATCTTGTTCATCAAATGCGATTTGTGTTTAGCTAATAATAGTTTCTTGGTTTAAATCTGTGATTGTGAAAGTTATTCTTTTCATAGCTTATTTTCATATGGAACTAATCTACTGTGTTAAATTGATATAAAGGATTTTCTCTTCTATATGTCTGCCTAATGATCTTTCCTTTCTAGGTGATTTTGGAACATTTCTTCTATCAATACATGAAAAACAAGGATTGAAGTCTTGAACAAAATAAAAATAATCGGGCTGCTAAATTCTTTAGCAACATTAATATGTGCTGATGATTAGAAATGTTTTTTTTATTAGGTTAATATTTCTGTTTGGTACTTTTTTTTTTTCTGTTTTTGGATTTATTTATTATAGTTGTTACTGTGAACCAACAGTTTAAAATAATACTATTAATGCTTACCAACTTTTTTTAATGATAATTATGAATTTTTTCTTTCATTGTTAGTTTAAATTTTAAACTATTTTTCTTTATAGTCTACAAATTCGTTGTGTTAATTAATTATTATTTTTTCTTCTGAATTGATGAAAATTTTTATTTTTGTTTATTAAATTTATAAATTATCATTATATATTAATTTTTGTTTATTATAATTTTTATTTAAAAATAATTTTGAATTGTAAGAATATATATGTCAAATTCTTAAAAAATATTATAATTAAAAAAATAAATATAAAATGAGCAATAAGATAAGTTACAAATTAAGAGAATGCTAATTTTGGTTTAGTTAAGACTTAAAATATAATTACTTAATCAGAGATTTAAAAAAAAAAAAAAAAAAAAAGAGTGTGCCTTGGAAAGAAGAAATCTACGGCACGTGAACAACTCGTGACGCCATTGTCCGCTACAGAAATTCGAATTTGAAAAGGCCAACGGTAACACAAAATTGAAACTCTTCTCTTTCTCGTACCTCAAACGAGAAATCAACGCACAAACACAATCACAAACTTTTCATTTCTCTGTCTCTTTTCCTAATTGATTGTTTCAAAAGCATATTTCCCTTTTCTTTTTCTCACTTTATTCTACAACTCTTTGATTGCTTCTGATTTCAAATCACAGTTCCTTTGATTTCTTTTAGCAATGGAAGATGCTAACAATTTTCAACTGTGGACTGACCCACTTCTCCTTACCGACGTTTCTTGGCAACAAAACTCCTCTAACTGTAAGATTCCACTGTTTAATCCAACCATCCATCAATTTCCCACTTCGTTTTATTTATTTATTTATTGTTTCTTCCTTGGCAGGTACTGAACCAGCCATGCCATCCTGCTCAAAAAACCCACCAATGTCGAATTCAGATTCCTCTCCTATAACACATTCCGGTAATTTCTTTTCCTTTTCGAGAATTTGGTTTTCTTTATAATTCAGTGGTTTAAAAAATGGGTTCGAATCCTTTTTTCTCGTCTTCATCTAAATTCAATTTGAGTTGTTTTTATCGATGTAGACGATCCTTGGCAAAACCAAAGCTCAAATGAAATTAGCACGCCAATTAGAGAATTTGATGGTAAAACTAAAAACCCTTTGCTTAGAAATGAATTTTTTTCACCTTTGCTTCCAATCTATGGGTTGTGAGGATGTAATTTTTATGAAAATCTTGGTTTCAGGACGATCCATGTTGGGGTTTTCTTTAACATCGCCAGATCTTGTTATATGCACTGGATCACCCGATATTCCATCACAAGCCTATGGAGATTCCCCTGAATTCTTGGAAAAACATAGGTGTTCAATTGAGCTTTCTTTAGAGAATGGCATTGATGGATCTGATAATAAAGTTAAGCACAAAAAGCACAAAACCCCCACTGTAAAGTTCTCTACCGTGTGCCAAACTTTTGATAAAGAATTGTCCCCGGACTCTTCCTTCGAGCTACTTCCTTTACCAGAAACTGCAGACTATCTGCAGAAGGAACATGAACACCTTCCTGTTATAAGCATTAATGCCGGGTGCTTAAATGAAGCAGTGGAATTGGGTGGTTTAATTTATTCAAATGACAATTGTTATGTGGGTGGTGATGTTATAAGGACTGATAGTATGGTTGGAGATGGAGTGGGAAATTCATTATACAACACAGCGCGATTTGGCGACTTCTCATACATGTTTCCAACATTAGAGTCTGGTTTTTATACTGTTGATCTGCATTTTGCAGAAATAGTTTTCACAAGGGGTCCAGCCGGGGTTAGAGTTTTTAATGTATATATACAAGAAGAAAAGGTGAGAAAAAACCCGATTTTATGCTTTTGATTTACATTATAGTGAATGAGTTGGTATTGATATTTGATCAAGGTTGATTGAATATATTGTAGGTTGTGTCCAGCCTAGACATATATGGCCAGGTAGGTGCAAATAAGCCTCTGGTTATATCTAACATTAGAACTTTTGTTGATAGTTGTGGGGGCTTACTCATTAGATTTGAAGGATTAATGAGAAATCCAATTGTATGTGGCATTACTGTACGGAAAGATTCTCCTGCAAGTAAGTTTACATATTGACCACTTATCTCTGTTCTCTGCTTATTATTTTGGCTTAAACTTAAAATGTAGGCATACTTATTTTAATGTTATAAGGGACAAACCTCATGTTATAAGCCACCAGTTTTGCAACATTCTTGATGTATAATTTGCTGCAAATCATTTATTTATGGTTTCCTAAGAAAAAAATCCTTCCATCAGATTTGAAGTCAAGAGGAACTCAAACTTTTGCTGAACAAATTTGTGCAACAGGTTTTAAAGAAGCTGAATCAGCAGAAGTCATGGGAATGGCTAAATTGGGAGGCCATGAGTCACCAAGGGTAATGGAACTCCCTATGGTTTTTCAATGTTTGAATAGAACAGCTCAAAATAGGGAGTTATGAAAATTTGAGATCATTTAAAAATGATTACTTGTAGGATATTAGTGACTGTGAGCTAGAAGTAAAGTACAAAAAGCTGCAAAGTGATTATGAATGCCAAAATAAGGAATTAGCAGAGATGAGGAGAGCATTGGAAGGGCTTAAGATGGAGAACCAAGTCAAGAGTAAAGAGTGTCAAGAAGCTTGCAAATCTTTACAGGAACTCCAAAATGAGCTTATGCGCAAATCAATGCATGTTGGTTCATTGGGTAAGGATTTCTTTTTCCTTTTCCTTTGATAAGTTGTAATTACCTAATAATTACTTGTATATGGAATGAATGGTGTTACTTTTATATGTAGCGTTTGCAATTGAGGGACAAGTGAAGGAGAAGAGCAGATGGTTCTCATCATTGAGGGACATGACAAGAAAACTAAAGGTAAAAAATGGAACTGAATCTTGCATAATGAACCAATACAAAGCTAGAGCTATGATCACAAACGTTTTGAAAAGTTCCAATTTGCAGATAATGAAAATGGAACACATCAAGCTATTAGAGGAGGTATCACTTTATAAGAACTGCATTATGGATATCAATGAAACTGGCACTGCAATTCTCTCGAGAAGTAAGTTAGCATTTACAAGTACATGCACATCTGATCAGACTTTGCAACTTTTATTCACCACATGCATCTTTTCCTCCTTCTTTCATAATCCTATTTATCTTTCCAAAAGTAAACCAGCAAGCAGATTTGCATGAAGATCTCAAGATAAAATTTATCAAAGGGGCCAAAGAAAGGAAAGAACTCTACAACAAGGTTCTAGAATTGAAAGGTTAGTCAAATTGATAATTCTAGATTTAAAAATATGAAATAAGTTGCAAGTTTAGAGCCTAACTGAAATTTTCAACTTCTTGCAGGAAACATAAGAGTCTTTTGCCGATGCAGGCCCCTAAATTATGAAGAAATAGCGGCAGGAGCTTCAATGGCTATTGACTTTGAATCTGCAAAAGATGGTGAACTCACTGTGGTATCAAATGGTGCTCCCAAGAAAACCTTTAAGTTTGATGCTGTTTTTGGCCCACAAGCTGAGCAAGGTAATGCCACGGTCGATTGCTGTTTTGGCCTCACTGCAATAGTAATATGAATGATATTTATTTATTAATTTCATTGCTCGTGATGTTTAGCCGATGTATTTCAAGACACTGCTCCATTTGCTACCTCAGTTCTAGATGGGTACAATGTCTGCATTTTCGCTTATGGGCAGACAGGGACTGGAAAAACGTTTACAATGGAGGGTACAAAAGAAGCTCGTGGAGTTAATTTTAGGACTCTTGAGGAATTGTTTCGCATAATTAAGGAGCGACAGAAGTTATATCGATATGAGATATCTGTCAGTGCTTTAGAAGTCTACAATGAACAGATAAGAGATTTACTGGTGACAGGCTCTCAGCAAGGCATGGTGGCAAAAAGGTTTCCCCCAATTTGTTTCAGCCCTTTTTCTTTTTCATTTCACTTTTCCAGAGTAGGAAAATTATGAGAGATAGTTTTGTTGCATAAGTTTCATACATCATCTTGTTGCTAATTAAACTTGATGATCTAAACTTTACTACTTTTGGCTGATTAAGACTATAACTATGGTAGTGATTTATCCAAACATTTTTCCTTTACTCTCTGATGACTGAGACTATAACTGCTATTAGCACAGTCAGTTCTTGGGAATTTTCACAAGGCCTAATATCTTTTCACTTTGATGTGGGTACTTTGTAGACTTGAAATAAGGCAAGTGGGTGAAGGAATGCATCATGTCCCAGGGCTGGTCGAAGCACATGTACACAACATGAATGAGGTCTGGGAAGTTCTACAGACTGGCAGTAATGCAAGAGCTGTTGGCTCAACCAATGCCAATGAGCATAGCAGTAGATCCCACTGGTCTGTCTATCACATTTTAATTTAAAATTAATTAAATTCTCATTGCACAGAATGCCTATAAACACAGCTAAATGCCAGCTTATGGGTTTCTCTTGATGCAGCATACACTGTGTGATGGTTAAGGGAGAGAATTTGTTGAATGGGGAATGCACAAAAAGCAAGCTATGGTTGGTGGACCTAGCAGGAAGTGAACGAGTAGCAAAAACAGAGGTGCATGGAGAAAGACTTAAGGAAACTCAAAATATCAACAGATCCTTGTCTGCACTTGGTGATGTCATATCTGCTCTTTCTACTAAAAGCCCTCACATTCCCTTCAGGTTATAGGAGATGAGCTCGTTTAAACTATTAAGAACGTAGAAACAGCATTGTTTCATAGGTTTTAAACTCGACTGTACTGTAATCATGCAGGAATTCAAAGCTTACACATTTGCTTCAAGACTCTTTAGGTACATTTTTATCTTTATTCCCCTATAGTGAAATTACTGATATAGATGACAAAAACAAGTCAGTTGAAAATTTCCTTTTTGTTAGGAGGAGATTCAAAGACACTCATGTTTGTACAAGTCAGTCCTCACGAGAATGACCTTGGTGAGACCCTATGCTCTCTGAATTTTGCAAGTAGAGTTAGAGGGATAGAGTTGGGTCCGGCAAAGAAGCAAATGGATAACTCGGACCTTCTGAGATGGAAACAGATGGTACAACCGGCAACTTATTGGTAAATATGTATTTTGATAATTTTGATATTACTAATGACAATTCCTTTTTTTACATAAAAGGTTGAGAAATCAAAACAAGACATGAAGATCAAAGATTTGCAAATCAGGAAGATAGAGGAAACAATTCATGGATTAGACTTGAAGGTGAAGGATAAAGACCTAAAAAACAAGAACCTGCAAGACAAGGTATTGCATACTGTAAACTTATCAAACAATCTTGAAAATATTCATTTTTTTACTCATAGAGCTGCAAGTCTTCAACTAATCTGTTATCTATTCTCCAAACAGTCTTTTTATGTTAAATTTTGGTCCCCATCAATTTCATTTTCCCAGGTGAAAGAACTAGAGTCGCAGCTACTCATTGAAAGGAAGCTAGCACGTCAGCATGTCGATACAAAGATCGCTGAACAGCAGCAGCAACAGCAACAAATGAAACAGCAGAATGAGGAGGTTAATAATTCAGCAATGAGACCACCACTAGCAACTCGACTTTTGGGAGCTAACAATAATTTAAATGAAGTTACAAGTGGTACATTGATGAAAGAGCAAGTAAATCTCACTCGTCCACTTATGGAGAATAGTTTGAAGCCTGCTATGCCTCTTTCTGTAGCAGATGGCTGCATCAAGCACATTGATCTAGCAACAGAAAAAGAAAACAATCCCGAGATGGCTGAACAACTACGACTACCAAAAAGGACGGGAAGAGCCTCAATCTGCCCAACAGCACGACGAATGTCAATATCCTCAGCCCCGAGGCGCAACTCTTTAATACCATTGCCAAGTACACCAGGCTTAGCGCAGCTCGCACCACCATTTCTCCCATTGCCACCACAGCCAGGTATAAAGGAAGAGGTGGATGAGTTTATTCCTGAACAAACGGTATGTGACAGTCCTAAAGAAATGAAAAGTGGTGGTAAGAAGCTGAGCAGTATTTTGAGACGAAGCCTTCACAAGAAAGTTCAACTAAAGTCCCCAATGCAGCAACATTTGAGAAGAGGTGTAAATGTGGGGATGGAAAGGGTTAGAGTTTCAATTGGAAGTCGAGGGAGGATAGCCAGTAGAGTACTAGTGGGCAATGGCAGAAGAGGAGGAACGAAGGAAATTCAGCAGAAACAAAACCAGAAGGAAAAGGAGAGAGGGTGGAACATAGGCACAGTTGGGAGGACTGCAATCTAACAGATTAATAGTTGTTTATGTATAGTTGTTTATGTATTCCTTCGTTGCACAGGCGACAACCAAAAAAACAAAAACAAAAATTGTGTGGATCTTCCGAGATGATGCTAATCATCTGTTTGGATTCTTGTGATTGCTAATCGTAAATGGATTGATTTGATTACTAATCCAGAAGTTTGTAATTATGTGCTTCTAAATGCTAGGAAATATTGATAAAGAAGTTCCTGAAAGCTGGAACCCCCATTTTCTCAAAAACGTCACAAATGGCAGATACATTATAATTATAGACGTCCTAACATAGTTTTCAATCTCTTTATTCAATCTAGAAAAAGAAATAAACAATAAAATATCATTCATTCATAAAACAAGTAATTAAGGCCTGCCAATCGAGTGACCATTAAGCAAATTGGGTAGAATTTAGCTATCAGCCTTAAACTCCAAATGTGAGAAAACATTCATTATTTACAAGAAGTTTTTACCCTTGTGAAATCAGTTTTTAGTCCTTTTTTAATTTACGAAATAAGTCACGGCTGGAGGTAAGAAAAAAATTATAAATGTTGAAATTTGATGTTATTTTTTAAAATAAATTATATAAATTAATTTAATTAAATTCTCGATTCAAATAAGTTGATATTTGATCCAATATTTTATCGTACACAAAGGTAAAATAATAAAATATAAAAAAATAATAAAAGGAAAAGAGAGTATGAATCTTTTGATTAATACTATATTTGGATTCATATACGTACAAGAAACCGTGTGTATGAAAACTAAATTACAACCCCATAAAACTACGAATATCAAAGCCTCATCTTTATCTCTCCTCTTTAATTTTACAATATACTCCTAACGAAAAAGCTTCCCAAAGACAAAATAATAATAATAATAATAATAATAATAAATAAAACTAAGCATTCTTCCTGAGTTTATTATTATGAACATAATCATAGTAATTAGCATTAATATGTTTAATATTGGACCCCAAAAAACAATATTGAGGATACCCTTTATTTATATTTCTCATCATCAAACAATCAAGTCCTTTCCAAAACCAACGCCTCCGCTTCACATGGCCCACGTGCCCCCTTTTCCTGGCCACTCCACCCACCACCTGTGGCGGTTTGTAGTGCCTTATCAAGGGCCACTTGATCCCATCAAAGAACGGATGCCGTTTAATATCCTGCGCACCCCTGGTGCAGCCTAGTCTCCTCCTTGGGTCTTTTACCAACAGTTTCTCAATCAAATCCTTTGCCTCCGCCATTCCAGCCGCTTCTACTTCCGCCACGTGGAGGAATCTCATTTGCCTGCTCGAAGCTATGTTCCGAAGAGTACTATCCTTACTAGCTCCTTTGAATGGCGTCGTTCCATATAACAACTCGTAAATAAACACCCCAAACGCCCACCAATCGACGCCGTTTCCGTGGCCGTTACCGGAGACAAGCTCAGGTGCTAAATACTCGTGGGTCCCAACGCATGACCGTGAAAACGCTGTTACTGGCTCAGCTACAAATTCAGGAACAAGTTCTTCATCTTCCGACCCCGCGACGGAACCAAAACAACCAGCGGTGAAACAACTCCACTTTGACTTTCCATTTTTGCAGTGGAGGAACTTGAGGGTGGGGACCACATCAGCCTTGAAACACAAATCGAAATCCGACAGCATTATATGCCCATCTTCACGTAACAAAATGTTTTCGGGTTTAAGATCCCTGTAAACGATCCCTAAAGCATGTAAATATTCTAAAGCAACCAACACTTCTGCAGCGAAAAACCGGACCGCCGCTAAAGGGAATCGATTTCCGGGTTGTTTACGTAGAAGAGAATAGAGATCTCCGTTGGGGCAAAAGTCAATGAGGAGACAGGTGTAATGAGAAGCTTGAATATGGGCGTAAAGCGTCGGAAGAAAGGGATGGTCCAGCATGGATAAGATTTCCGCTTCCATTTGAACATGGGAGAGTTTCTTGTTGCTTAATGTGTCCCTATCGATTACCTTTAGAGCAAAGGTAGCGCTGCTACAATCTCTAAGCTGACAGAGGAAGACTCGACCAAGGTTTCCAGTACCCAAATGGCGAATAAGCTTGAGGTGATGAAGGTGGAGGTTTCCGTCGGAGGAGAGGTTGGCGGCTGCTTTAATGGCTGACCAACGTGGATCCCATTTGCGGTGGTGGAGAGTTGTGATATTGGTGGTGCTAGTGTTGGTTGTGGAACAGGAAAGACGGGATTCATTGAAGCTGAGGGTAAGGCTAGATCGTGCTAAACTGGAACGAGCACTAGAGGAAGGGAAAGTTCTGTCGGTGGTGGTGGAAGTGAAGCTGAAGTCCAGATCGGTGTCTGGAAAATAAGTTTCTTCGTCCATGACTAATTCGTTTAGAGCTTAGAATTGAGGGTTTTCACGTCTGCTTCCTACATATATAAAAGAGAAAAAAGAGAGAGAGAAAATGTGAGGCAAAGGGAATTAAATACAAGCCGTTCGTTTGACCCAACTCTACTCTAAAAAAAAAAAAGTCTATATGATCAAATTAAAAAAGAGAAGGAGAAAGAGGGAGAGAGAGAAGACAAAGGAAGGTGTCCGGTTGACCCATTAGGGTTTTCTACGTAATGGAATTGCAGGGAATATAAATATATATATATATATAAGAGTGTGGTTGAATTGAAAGAAACTAAAAGTGGGAAACAACCCCTTTTGTTTAACCCCTAGAGGGATTACCCAGCTGCGAGTTAATGTCATAATAAATGAGATGAAAGGGAGAGAGAGAAGCAACGACCAGTCGGCCAGTCGGCGGCGTGTGGACGCAGCTGGTGACGTTTACATTTCAGCTTTGTATTATATGATATCCGAGTTGGAGTGTAGACAAATTAAGGTGTGTTTAAAGAATAGCTGTTTATATTAATCTGATAAGAACAAGGAATTGTCAGAGCAAGGTTTGATTATCAAAGTTGTTAAAATGGATGAAAAATTAAGAATTGACAGCGGCGGTTTGGATCAGTAGCTACCATCTATATTTTACTACATTTAAGTTTCTGTTGTATTTGTGTTTAAAAACTATGTCAGAATGGCTAACAACTAGCATAAAGTTGGCAAATTCAGTATATACCTTCCATTAGTTACTCACATAATTACAAACGCAAATTATGTTTAATTATTCACACAATCACCTTTAAAAAATAATATTTAAATTCAAATTCTAACACTTACATATACTTTTAATCTTCTGCTGCCACCACTGTTAAAATCCATAGATTCATGGACAGATTCAGTCATTCAGTATACAACTTTAGTTTACTAACATTGAATTCTATAATTACCGTCTCAATTTGGAATATTTCAGTTGTTAAAAATTTTTAGAATTTAATTTAGAGATTTAATTATGAGAACTTAAAAATGAGATTTATGGAATAGAAAAATGTTATTTATTATTGTGTGACTCGAGCATAAGTCTAGAAACAAATAAACATTGTATGTAGTTAGACTTACAGTATTTTATATATATATATATGATGATGATGATGGTGATGATTTCAACATTCATTGTATCTTCACATTGTGAACAAATTAAATATTTATAAGGATTTAAAAAAAATTATAATTAAGAAATTAATTGTTGTATCTGGAAAAATAAGCTACCATTAGCCTCCTACGTCGAATTATAGCCTTTTAAAGGATGGATTTACCTTTGATGACAATTTAATTAGTATATATGATGTACATATCAGTCAAGTTTTTAAAACTTATGAATTTGAAAGGATTTAGACATATAATATCTTCTTCAATTCAGTTAAATAGATAGAAATTAAAGATTAAGAGTAGATTGAATTTTAAAAAAAAAAAAAGTATATTTTGCCACATCCCTCGATCAAATTGATATGTTATCACTTTGTACATTGTATATTACATAATGTGCATACATTGAATACACTGCATCAATGTTGAATACAATACATCAATCTTCTAACTAAGACATACATACATGTGCATACACATATTTTACGACAGATTTAAAGTTTGAAATACTTACAATTCATTCTTTTATTCTTAAATTACGATATATATATATATATATACACTTTATATATACAAAGCTTAACATGCCAAGCTAGATACTTTTGCATAACATATATTTAATTCCCATTAGAGATTTAGTTTTTTTTTTTTAATGAAATTCAAATTTTAGGGAAGAATAATAAACTATTTTGTTAATTGAAGCAACATACAAAATAGTTAAAACAGATAATATCTTGATAATCATTAAAAATTATAAATCTCATAAATCTCCCACTATATCTTTTAATTTCTTTAAGGATTTTTGGGAGAATTATATCTACCATCATATATAAAGGAGAACTTTTAGAACATAATTTACGTAATAAAATACCTTTTTTACAGTTATAAGATTGATAAAGAAACTTTTAAGTGACTAATTAAGTATTAGTTTATATGGTTTAAATGTGGTTTAAATTTTTAGGAGTTGCAGGTTTAAAATTATTTAAACATATAATGTTCTTTTCATATGAATAAAGTAAAAAAGATTAAAGATAAACTAAAAATTAAAAAAAAAAAAAAACCTCATTACTAAGAACAACCTATGTATGCACTAATTACTATGTATAATTAGTTCAATTGGTTAAGGTTTGTTTTTCTTAATAAAAAAATCTTGAATTCGAGTTTTGTTAATGATCACTTGTTAGAATCATTTCGAATGTACGATCTATAATCATTTGTTTTAAATTATCAGATATGATATATTTAATCTTAATTTAGAGAACTGAACAATTTATTTATCTCCAAAATTTTTTTTATAAAATAAATAAATAAATAAAAGGTATAGTAATTAAAAAATTAACGCAATGTGAGAAATGATAAGCGAAGGTGGGGGAGGCATGTGGAGGAGCCAAGATTACCGCATCTCGCATCTCACTAGGGTTGGGACCCACGTGGAAGACAAAAGGATGCTGTCTGCCACGTGATCAACCAGTGGTCCCCATTGCCCCCTAACGCCCCAAATAATTCATTCATTAACGAGAACTCTGAATAAATATATTAAACTTTGTGTTTGACCCCAAAAAAATAATAATACTAATAATTCATTCAATAATTCCTAACTTCCTAACTATTTAAATTTGATTGTAATAATAAAGGCAAAGATACAAAGAGGCATGTCTTGGAATTTGTCTGATGAGTTTGGTCACTTTAACCAACTTAAAATTCTATTTACCAATTACATAATAATATTATTGAAAATTGTAGCTTATATTACTTTCTAGGTTAGGAGTTATTTTAAGTTTTTATAAAAATTTATGATAAAGCATTTTCGCAAAATGGTGTTAAGATCATTTAAAAGAGATAGGAGAGAAAAAATTTTGGTTGTTTTGGAACTTTTTTAATTCTCATAATTTATATTTTCCGGTGATCGGTGTTGATTTTTAAAATCTCAAATATTTATAAAAAAGAAAATGTACATAGCTTCAAATTATGTTCTTTCAATTAAAAAAATTCTAATTTCTTTTCAAATTAAAATTTTAAACACGCCATACCAATATAAAAAAATATCTCCTTATCATCTGAAGATGAAATTAAATTCAAACAAAATTTAAAATACCATTAATTATTGTCTTAGCATATAAATCTACAGACTTATAACTAGATATAACCTAAGAAGTCATCACCAATCTTTTATCTAGATGTGATTAGTTATCTAATGAATCTATCTTTTTAAGAAATTCATAAACTTGACTAAAGGTTCTTAAAGAATAGATTCTAATCTACTAAGTAGAAAAAATTTGAAAGTTCAATTACATATGAAAAAAATCATAGCATCCCTATATGCCCATTTAAAGGACAGTAACATTTTATTTTAAACTATCTTAAAGTTTATAGTTCTAATGGTCTTAATTTTGATATTTAAATATTGAAGATAATTCTTAAGATTTCTTCAATCTAATAGAATTCTTAAAAATACTTTTCCACATCAAAAGTAATCAAAAATCTCATTTGTTTTTCTTTAAAAGACTCATTCGTCGAAGAAAATATAATCATTTATTTTTTTGTTAAATTTTTGTTTTATTAAAAATATATCTAATCCTTTCACCATTAAGGCCAAAATTAGAAATATTTTCTCACTTAAAAATGTTTTAGATAATTATCTATTTGTAATTACTAAGAATTTCATCATTGAAATTTATTTTTTAATTGTAAATTTTATTTCTAAATTTTTCACCATTCGTGCCTACTTTAGAAAAAAAATTTTCACCTGAAAATCTTATAAAAGTTCAACCATTTATGATTCTTCTTGAGACTTTATCTTTTGATGATTGTCAAATATTTTCACAAAATTTTTTAAGTTATATTTTTAATTTATATATTTTTTTATTTGGAAAAGAATACAATCACTTTTATTAAAATTTCATCTAAATCATTCCACCACATTAGAGAAATTCCTCACTTAGAAATTTCTTAAAAAATTTATCATTTGAAATTTTAAGGAATCTTATCATTGGATAATTTTAAATTCAATCTCAAAATTTTATTAAATTTGCTTGCCTTTTATTATATTTTTTAAAATAAACTTCATCTAAATTTTTTTTATTTGGGTCAAATTTAAAAAAAAAATTTCTCACCTAAAAATTTTTTAAAAATTAACTATTTATAATTTCTAATAATTTTATCATTGGATAATTTTCATTTACTATTACAAATTAATTGACTTTCATAATAAAATATTTAGTTGTACCAATTGAATTAAATTTGCAAATTTACTTTATCAAAACCTATTTTGAATTTTTATTGTATTTTTATATATTTTTATGTTTAAATAATTAAAACATTATCTAATACTGTGCATGATAAAATAGATAAAGACTAAAATACCAGTAAAGTAAATAAACAAAAATACATACCTAAGCTGCACCAATTCAAAGCAAATGGTCCCCTTGGAATAAAGGTAGCCTAACTCACTTTGTTGACTATTAAAACCGATTTGGATTTAGACTTGTTATCACGTCAAATCCAAGGTAATAGTCTTTCCCGTGAGAGTTTACAAAAATCTGCATGCCACCCCTAAGATGAAGGACAAGGTGGAGGGTTGTTTGTCGATAAGATAAGGCTCTGTGGGGAAAGAAATTATGCTTAACCAATTGGCATCGCAACCGAAAAAGACGGCTGCCCATATATTGCTCCCAACTTCTCCATATATTTTCTTCTTCAAACAGAATCAAACTATTGCACAAAAACTAGCCGAATCGTGCTGCCTTGGACAGTCGCTTCGCTTGCCAATGCCGTGAACCACCTTTTCCGTTACTGAATTGCCACGACAAGAGCTTTTGTGTTAAATGCCTCTCCGTTTCTATGTATATTGGAACCAATTTATAAATGAGAATTAAAGTTCAAACTATATTTTAATTAAGATTAAACTCTTTAAAGAGTCTATTTGATTGTTCGACTAAGATTAAATTTTATTTTTTTAAAAATCTTTTATTCAACTGAACAAGTTTTCTTCAAGCAAGTCTTTATTATTTTTTTTATTGAAAAGATAAATAAATAATAAAAAAATAAAATAAAATAAATTTTAAATCTCGGACAAAATGAAATATTTATAATTATGTTACCAAAAAAATTAAAAGCTGAAGTCATAATGGAGAAAGCTGAAGCTAGTCATAATAATAGCAAGAACATAAAACACTAGGTTGAGATAACCTCAAAGTATTAATAGCTATATTTTTAAGATAAATAATAATAATAATAAAGAAAAGTATGGTATGGTATATATAGATAAGCTGTCCAAGATAGGAACCATAGCTAACAACATTTCCCCCAATTAATGAGGTAAAAACTTTAATACTAATCATGCATATATATTAATGCATGATATATGAAAATTGCTAGATGAAGCATGCATGTTACACATGATTAACCCTTTTTTAAACCCCAAATTAGTTCAATGCTTTAATTCTAGATTTTCGAACTTCCATTACAGAAGCATAAAACACAAAAATGTTCACAAATCGTGGAATATGCCCAACTTGGACCATCAGGTGATCTTTTGTCATACATATTACTAATAATCAACCAAGTTGATGCCCATCATATGCTACCTGACCCTTCTTTGACCAACATGTTCTATCTCAATTCTTATACCCACTAACCCACAATATGTTTTTTTTTTTTTTTGTAACTTTAAGAACTCTTGATTATGTAAAAAGAACCGAATATTACATCTCTCGAATCAATCGTCGAAATGAGAATTCTTCAAATAACATGTCACGTTCAAATTTTTTATTTTCATAAACAATAATAATTTTCATTATCTGACGGTGGTTCTCAAGAAATGTGCCTTAGAATCATAGGTTCAGATGGCAAGTTCATGTGCCTCCATCCTGCTTATGTTTAGTATTAATTTGATAGGATATAAACTTATATTAAGTTGAGAGAAAATGGGATGTTGGTTTTGAAATTCGTGATGCTCTCGTTCTCCTGCTGCAGCTTCTTCAATTTAGTGGTTCCAAATAAAGAGTGAGACCCACAGAATTAGAAACAACGAATTTATGGGCCCATTTATTTTACTATGGTGGGTGGACCTAAAATGGCCATAAATTTTGTGTTTTTTAAATTGATGGTAGTCATATTCGAATTTTTTTAATATTTTATCAATAAATTATATGATTATTGAAAAAAAATTAGCTTTCATTCTCTGCCCATCAAAGATTTCAGGTTTTGTTGGATTTAATTTTTTTTTTTTTAGATGATTTTAAAAAAGATTTTCCAATATCGACTTAATGTGTTTTGAACTTTACTTTTAAAATATTACCGATTAAATCTTGATTAACTAAAAAAAAGAGAACTCATTCTCTTATTAACTGAAATAATTATTGTGGGTAAGTAATTTATCTCACCAGAAATTTAATTTGAAAAAAAAAAAAGAGTTGTTTGGGGAATTTCTTGTGATCAAGACATGATTGGGATAATCTGGCTTCAAAAAGGGAAGAAATTTGTTTGAAAAACGTAAAGATGAATGGTGGTGAGAGCCAATCGGGAGTAAAGGTGTCCACACCAACATATCGGATATTAGAACATTCGAGAGAATTACGAACATATCTTGGCTATAACGACATTTACACCTTAGGATTTTGAAAGTGCATTTTCAGAAAACGACTTTTTAGCGAAAATGTTAAGAATTCCAATATTAATGGATTTTAATTTCATGCATTGTTTTTTTTTTTTTTTTAAAAGGATTAATGTTAAGCATGCATTGTTTCATGCTTCAAATTTTGAGACGAGTTACGAAAATAACATTTTTTTTATTGTTTAATCCAAAAATAAAATATATAAAAATTAAAAAACTAGATAAAGATAACAAAAGACCATGGATATTTTGATATCATTTTTATACATAACGATAAGTAATACGATCAAGATTTTGATAATTGACGATTTTAATTTTAAACTTTTTAAGTGATAAAATCCTGATAATATTATTTGATATTATTTTAACAGTGTATAAATCAATCAATTTATCAAAATAATATCAATTATAAATATTTTATAAATCAAACATATAATCAAAATATTTTAATCAATGTTCAAAATGTATCGTTCACCCACTCATAAATGGCATGGAAGGCACAAACCTCTAAACATTCATTTAATAAATGAGTGTTTGTTGCAAGCAAAGGACAAAAAGTAACAATAAAGGGCAGCTAACCAACTTCATCTCTCTTTATTTGGTACAATGTACCCATCCATTCCTAAAACTATATAATTCATAATTTATTTTAGCCTAACATTAACCCAAATAATAATACCTTTGCCACCTATTATTTTTTTTTTAATATTTTTTTTAGTTATATCAAGGTCTTTTCTAGTGGCTCATATTATCATATTGTCACATGCAATCAAGTTCCAAAATTTTAACTTGGTCAGAAACTTCTAATCATTAACTTAGATCCCATTAATTATAAATAATTAGAGGGAAGAAGCATTGTGCAAATTCATGGAATCAGCAATTTTTTTTAATAAAATAATTAAGAAGTTGCAAAAATATTCAACTATATAAAATATGCCAATTTTAGTTTGGGGGTTAAATCCAATTTAGTAAGGAAAGAAGTTTTCTTTCCTTAAAATTTATCAACATTCAATTGGGATTTGAAAATAAAATATTCGAGATAAATTTATTAGATATGAAATTTAAATTTCAATACTTATAATATTTTTTATTTTTTAATGTTATAATTTTTTTCATACCGAAAAAATAAAATCTTGAATATATATTAAATCACTCTCAAACTTTTCAAAGAAAAAATTAAATCCAAACAAAATTTAAAATTTGTAAGATTGTATTATAACAAATATAACCCAAAAAAAAAAAAATTACAATTGGCTATGGCTTGGGTTCGAATTGTGTCTGGTGAGTGGTGTGACCCACCAAAACTGGAATTGGATAAAATTAATGTCAAAAGGAAGAAGGAAGATGTCCAAGGGGGTTGAATTAGCATAAGTCCAAGGATTTTATATAGAAGTGGATTCCCCAACTTGGTTAAATTATAGTTATTATCAGTTGCAGCAGAGAGCATTTTCAGAATAAATAAGTGCTTAAAGATGAAGAAGAGGAAGAACAAATAAGCACAACCTTCTTATCATCATGGAATAATAACAATGTTTAAAGCCCAGGAGCCCAGCTGCAATTTGATCAACCAGTTGAGATGCCACCTGGAATATCCAAAAACAAAAATTGTTCACTTCTCTTTTTTTCTTTTATCTACCACCCAGGAACAAGCAGCCCCGACCACCCTTTTTCTTTTTATTGGAATATAGGTAGATTAATTTGATTCCTACCCCTTTATAACATTTACATACACATCTTAATGGGAAAATGTTGGTTATTGACTAGGGTTTAAGTTGAGTTAAAATAGCCAACTCACCATAAGTATTCCAATTAACATCCACATGATATTTAAGTGACAGATTTTGTGAAATTTCTATGACAATTGACAAAAATGAATGATTTTAAAATAAATTTTAAAAATCATGAATTCAAGATTTTGAATTTTAAAAGTCCTAAATATAAATAAAATATTAAACAAAAGCATCGAATTTCTTTGTGCAGGTCACTTAGCCTAGGACCAGGTTCAACTTCTAATTCAGGGTTGCATAATGAACCTAGTAAGAATTTCAAAAATAGTAAAAAAAAAATCATATCCTAAACAATCTCATTTATATGCAGTTAATGCATATAGAGATATCCCCAGGGAATGCTTCAAACTTCAGTGTGATGTTTGATGATTCTCCTGTTAACAAAACCTGAACTTGCATTTGCACATTTCATGATAAATTCAATACTTGACTGTTTGACATTATCCTGCTGCAATATATCAGACTATTACTAGATCTGGAAATAAAAATGAATGCAACAAAAGCTAACAAAGAAACAGGGAAGGGAGAAGAAGAGACTAATTTCATTCCAATTACACAGTGGCAGTAGTAGTAAAAATGTTTCATACTTGGGATAAATTATACACCGAGATCGATTTCATCCCCGATTTTGAAATGATAATAGCCAAGAAAAGAAGCTTAAGAAAACTGACTTGTACCAGGAAATGCCTTGATCTATTGCCAGAAAGACAATGTTATACATGCAGTTTCCCACTTTCTTTCCCTTATTTTCATCTTAAAATTTGATGAGATTGAACGCATCTCTCTCACCAGTGACATTCTCACGTAACTTGAACCCCATCTTTTCTTTTCATTTTTTTTTTTTTAATTTTCCCCTCCTTTCCTCCTTTTTCTTTTGCTTCCCCTTTCATTCGCTGTCTTTCTTCTCTGTTGAAGAATGATAATCTTTCTCTTGGTTAGAAAGCAGAATTTCTTCACAAATGCCTCGAATCATGTATTCAGGTTGAAGATCTTCGATATTGCCTTTTACTTTTTTTCTGGGGCAATTTAAATGGACTCCAGCTCTTTCTGCGTTTAGAGGTTTCACAAAAGAGCCCAGAGGCCAAGGCCTGCTGAAGCCATAACTCAAATTCTTCTTCATCTTCATCAATCATTTCAGCATCCAAATCCCAAGGAAATCTGCTTGAGTTGGATCTTTGTGTCTTCTCCAATCCAACCATGTTTACATGGAAGCTAGGTCGATGGGTGTTCGGTCTACATGCCATTCCCTGTAAGAACCATTTGCAGGCGGTAAACAGCTGTTAAGTTACTGGCAGAAAAATGCATCACTGTCACCAGGATTAATCAGCTTCAAAGTGTCATGGTGACAGGCTGTCAAATCATTTAAGCAGTATTTGCTGAATCATGGTTGTGATGGTTCTGATACTAGCTAAAGTTTCATGAAAACAAGCTCAACTTAACTTGGAATGTTCAAACCATAATGAATAAGTCAAATTACTAAAAGTACAGATATTTCAGATAATAATGTTTAAAACTTTGAAGTAATCAACACTATACCCATAACAGTGCTCTAAACTGAACAGATGCAACCCAACAATCACTAAATTTTAAGAGGAAGATTTTTACTGGATAAAGAACAGACCGTGTTTTTTTGTTTTTCTAAGTAACCCGTTTTGTTTTTTGTTTTTCTAAGTAACCCGTTTCAAAACCTATCTGGTCTTCAGAACTTCTTGTAGCAAGGGAGTATTGTCTTCTCAAATTATTGGATTTGGATCATTTAACAGAAACTAGTAGAGGTGTATTTGATTAAGTTATGGTTGGATTTTGACAACATTTTCTCTTTTATTACTGACCCCTAAAAACTGGTTTATGAGATACCATAATTGCAGCTTGAACATGTCTTATCTCAAGGGAAGGTCCCTAAAGTGATGAAGGTATACAACTTTTGGTTAGAAAATAAGATTCCCCTTGATTTCAAGATCATATCAAAAACAATACTACTCCCTTGCATTTTCAAAACTATACAGCTATCACTTGACAGGGACAAAGGGAAAATTTTTGTTCCAGGAGGTCAGTCTGATCAGATTTATTTAAGGCTTATACCTTGACAGGCATAAATGGAAGATTTTTGTTCAATGCGGTCAGTCACTCAATCTGATCCAATTTATTAAAGAGTACGTAATTTCATAAAAAGAAAAAGTAAAAAATAAATAACTATTTTTGTCAAAAAAAATGATTCCAAACACTGTAATATTAACAGAAAAGATTTTCTTCATATAATGATTGTCAAATACATATGGTAGGCTTCTACCGGTTAAAACTCTGAAGCTTTTATATCCCATCATTTCAAAAATGATGTAATTAGAAGGCATTTTGAAATCAAATCTATATTTGATTAATTTAGTTTGGTTTCTAATTCAATTTGGACATTTATTTCAGAACCAAAATTTTTCTAAACACAATTTAACCAATTATTTGCCTAAAACCCAAATCCAAATCCAAATTTCAAATTTCAAATTCCAAATTTAAGCCAAACTATACAAGGGAAAACTAGATAGTGAAAAATGAACATTAATGGAACACACACACAATAATATTTGTACTTACCATATACATGATATTTTCGGTTCTTTGGTTTGATTTGGTCATAGACAAAAGGAAACTGAACTGACAATGAAAACAAGAAAGAAAGCCATTTTCAACTCTATATGGTCAGCTACATGGATCATATTTTTGTCATTATACTCTATTCAAGACAATTTTTCTAGGTTTGATTTGTGGAAGCTAGGCAGCCCGCTTTTAAACTTTTTTCAAATCATTATGAACAAAGGGAACCTAACCAACAATAATTATGTGACCTGGATACCAAACTGAGCCAAAACTTTTTTACCAAAATCACATCAATTGACCCACATTGTTTTTCAGTTTGAACCAAATAGTCCACACCTGATTGCTTTGTCATTTAAGTATTTGATATTCTGTTATATCTTCTAATTTTTGTCACTTCCTTGTCAGATCAAATTAACCAATAAAGTTAGCACATGCATCCACCAGACACACATGTACATGCACATGCCCACAAAACATGAACCACTGACCTGACAAATAGCCCATTCTGAAACATCAAAGATCTTGCTCTCAGCACAAACAAAAGCACGTGGTATTTCCACCTAAAAGACAGGTAAGATAGCAAACTGCTAAGTATAATGAATACTAAATCCTGTTAAACAGCATAATTGAAAGAAAGGGACCAAAACTTTTTATAATTTGACAAAGCAAGACATATAATCAAGCATGCTGCACAAAGAGAGATGAACGCTAGCAATCTAAAGCTTACATCCTTAAAAAGATCTTTTAGCCTCGTATACATTTTTATTTTTTCTGTTATTGCAGATAAAGTACTCACTGAGAAGGCCCTGAACCCATATCCTCCCTATCAATCTTCAAATATTATCTCTGTTTTGTGTTTCTCCCACCAGCCATCCAAATCGAGCCTTAATATACAAGAATAAATAACAGCTTTGTAAGTTCTTTTCTCCCACAATATTATCTAAGTTGACAAGTGGCATGCCTTCCTCATTGCTGACAAAGTTTCAAATACCCAAGTGGACCAAGTGCTTAGGTTAAGAGCCACTTAAGAACTAGTAAGTCAAGTTGCTTTGTTAAAAAGAATCAACATGCCCTTTCTCACGGCTCTTCCATTCACTAAGTAGCCATTTGCTTAGCATGCAAGTTATGGGTCAAAGGCTAGAATTAAAGAGCTTTTATAACCTTGGTCAAAATAATCCTTTAGACTCTTTGTAAGCATCTTTCTTATTCCAAAATAAAAAATTAGAGATGTAAACTCAAATCTGTTATTCGTTCCAGCTCCAATCTTAATTTTAGTATCTAATAAGCCATTTTATGCTTTTAATTTAAAACACCACATCAAGAATGCCATGGCTAAGCAATTTGCCAATTTGATAGTAAAAACTGTTGACAGAAAAGACTCACAACTTGATGTCATACCAAATTCAGTTGAATTTGTACATCAAATGGATTAAACTTTTTTGCAAGGAGGAACCTACCTTTTGAGGCCTATCAAACACCAAGGAACCTTTGTACTCAACCCACCCATCTCCATCCTTGGCTTGATGATATTGACAGCAATCCTGAAGGCCAAACTAATCTCAGAAATTTATAAAATGTATTATGAAAAACGAAGATTATATTGAGTTTGAAGACGTGTGTTTTTGTGTACCTATACAGGCATGCATGAGCTTGTATATTTATGCCTGCATGAAAAAGCGTGTGTATTGTGTGCAAGAGAACAAAGTTGACCAGTGCTCTAAAAAGAGCTATTTAATCACGCCTTGAAAGACGCTATGTATGAGATGCCATAAAAAACCTAAGGGCACAACTTGGAAGAATTTCTCCCTATTCTGGGTGTTTGCTTTGACATTTTGAATCTTCTTAAGGGGTTTGCAGCCATTTTTATTTTTTTGTTTGACAAGTACATTAGGCTTTTCTAGAGCTGCAAGCATTGGATTGAAATATTATTTATGTTTGCACATATATTTTATTATTGTTTTGTAACTATTTAATGTTTTAATTTATAAAAATATTTATTATAATTTGTCTCAACAGGCTTATGCCTAAAAGTGTCATGGTTAAGCCTTATTTCATAACCAGTGTAAAATGCTAGGCCTTTTGAAACACTGGATTTGACAAACAGAAAGAAGAAATCTGACCTGACACCATCTAGCCTTGGCCTTGTTCCTATTAGTGCACACCCATATATGTGAATTACCACACTTAGTGCACTGTATACGCCTTGATTCTTCAGAGCAATGATCTGGATTAGGCTGAAGAAAGGAGAGAATGGTTGAAAGGTATTAATTTTACATTATCATTCAGCATTAATGATCTGAGTCAGAATCACATGAATCAGCAATAAGAAACAAGTTATTGCCTCAGCCACTAGCCATAAGAGCATAAAAGACTGAAAATTGTTCGCCAGAGGTAAATATTGTGGTCATTTTGAAAAAACCCTTAATTAGCAAATTGTGAGACCAGGAAACCTCACCATGACTCATAAATTGGATTTCACTCGGGAGGACAAAATTACTGTAGAAACAAATTGACAATTTTTTTCCAAGTTGCCTAAAAATCCAGAGCTTTCTTAAGAAACTCCTAAAAAGAGCAAAACCAAGTGATAAGAACCCCGAAGCTAGATTATAGTATTCTAAGAAAGTGTTGCCTATTATCTTTCTTATACTAAGTATTTTTGCATTTTCATTCCTCTTAACTATAAATTCCATTCAAAAATAGAACTACAAGAAAAAAACGAATGCCACAAAAAATGAAAAGGAGCAATAGAAATCAAAACTACCTGCCGTGAAGAGCTATGGGACTTTTGACAGACACTCCTAGTCCTGGATTCTTCCTTTCTCAGGTGCTCATCATAGTCCCTCTTTTTCATGGAATCAGAAAGAACCTACAAAATCCATGCCAAAACAAGCTGCTTAAAGCCAGTGCCAACATTTTCTCAATTGGATGACATTGTTTAGCTTTCATTTCATATATACACAAAATATGAACTCAAAATAAGAAATATAAATTAAGACTAAATAACAATAACAATAAGAACATAGCTGCTCACCTCGTAAGCACATTGAAGTTTCTTAAATGATTCACTTGCTAAAGGACTTCCCATATTTTTATCAGGATGTACAAGCATGGCCTGTCGAAAGTTGAATTGAGAGAAAATTAATTAAGAAAATTAGTGGGCATGCTGAAAAAGAAAAGAAAACGGAAAACATAAGAAGGCTAAATAAAAGATCCTAATGAGAGGGAAAATAAAAGAAGGATATTTTTACTTGCATCCTAAAGCATTCCCTCCCCGACCATGTTTCCCTTTGATTCCAACCCCTCGAGTTCCTTTACACAAATCCTAAAAACCTTTCCCTTTTCTTAATAATGAATTAGGAAATAACCTATAAGAAACAAAGGCTAAAATAATGAAACATAGCCCAATATCACTTGCATAGAAAAGGAGAACATCAAGTCTAACTATTTTTTTTGTTGAAATAAGTTGTGGGTGAGTAGATTAGATATTTAGATAAATGAAATGTGCAAGCCTTTTTCCAGGATAGAATCTACCTTCTTTCTATATTCCTTTTTCAAGATTGCAGTGTCAATTTTTGTGTGACGGGGAAAACCCAATGCTTCATAATGATCTGTGCAATTCAATATTCTTTTCATTTCATCAGCCGAACTCATTTCTTCCTTGACCACCCTTTTAGCAGAACACTCTTTTTGGATAATTACAGATGTAGTAGCAGATGTGCTGGATGACTTGCATGGGTGCACCGTCTCAGATTCATCAGTAGGAATAGAGTATTCACATTCTCCAGACAAATCATCTTCCATAACTGGTTTGGATTCCTTTGGCTCTTCACATTGCGTGTTTTCACTCACATTATCAAAGCGTTGGAGCAAATAATTCAATACATCATTCGAAAGAAATGCAAGGTTTATTGATAGAAATACACCATGCCAACCAACTCGAACTTTGACACAATAAATAGAGTATGTAATTGCTATCAAGACTATCAACCGTGCATGACTTAAGGAGAACAAATAACCTGCAAAGAGAGATAACAACTTCAGAGATCTCAAATCAACAGAAGCAGTCAAAGAGATAACATGAAAATATATTTAAGTCCGTCAAACAAGTTTCAGAGTAAAGAATCTTCATGCAAAATTAGATATGAATTGTTTCTCATTGTGATCACATCAATAATGCGACACTAACAACATAGAAGAAATATGCACAAGCGTATAAAGTATATACACATGCCAGCAAGGTTTCAGATGATGTAGAGGACTGTTGTAAAGTAACACTCCTTTACATACAGAAAAGACTGGATAAGGGCTCGGTTGGTCAGTCAAAATTACCAAAAGGATAGTCATGGAAATTCCTCAAAATCATCTATCATTGAACTTCTTGTTCCAGAAGGCTACTTGTCACCAGTAGTAGTGGCAGAAATAATAATTCAAGGCGTGAGAAAAACTTTATAACATCAAAGAGTGATTCAATTAATCAACAAGGGTTTGGCACACTGACAGCAGGCAATCGATTTGGACAAAGCATTTGATAGGGCAGTGAGCATGCTTAGACAAGCACTGGTATTGAGGGAAATTACTGTAGATAGATTGAACTCAAACTAAAGATATGATAATAATTTAACTAAAGATAGAGAACTTTTGAATTTGAGATAGTAGATAACATTAAAACAACAGTCAACATTTTACTTTTGGACTTGATAACATCAAAAAGCGATTCAATTAATCATCAAGGGTTACCAACTGACTGCAGGTGCTCGGCTTGGACAAAGCATTTGATAGGACAGTGAGCATGCTTAGACAGGCACTGGTACTGAGGGAAATTACTATAGATAGATTGAACTCAACCTAAAGATATGCATAATTTAACCAAAACTAGCAAACTTTTCAATTTGAAATAGTAAATAACATAAGTACTGTCAAAGGATCCTACAATTTTTTATTTTTTGGGCTTTATGCTCTTCTGCTCATTATCATATAAAATCTTATTAGGTCTCAAAAATCTAATCCGACAATCAATTATCTGCAATTGCTAAACATGCAAGTTCTCAGCAGTTTTAAGAAGGGAGAAAAGAAAGCCTAAGATAGTCAATAATTAGCTTATAACATAATTTAATGTCTCTCTCAGAGAATAAGAGGCAAAGCTCCTTTCATTATTATTCTTTACCTTTCAACTATTTCCAGGCCTTGTGACACTTGTCACAAACCAACACTCTTCAGTTTCTGTTGGCAGAGTCAACATGACCAGCCTTACTTCATAGACAACCAGATCAACAGGTAAAAGAACTTACAAAATAATGTGTTTTTTGTTTTCCATGTATCTTCCTATAGATTTTCTAGTTTAATTTGCTTTCCATACACAAACACATTTATGTAGGAATGTATATGTACAAACTGGATAAAGAAAGCCGTAAGTCATTTTGACACAGAATAAGGTGGATAATTTCCTGATTGAAAAATGAACATTCTCATACTTAATGTCTGTAATTATTTCTCAAGCAGCGGATGTATGACGGGTAGTGTCATCAACAACATAGATAGACCTATCTCATTTATCATGATAGATGTGTGAATGAAATAAGTAAAAGCATGAACATTATGTTACTGACAAGAAAATTCATAATCAGAGGGCAAGAAACAAGTCATACCTCCAATTATAAACAATGTTCCTGTTATCCAAAAGTTGGCATTCATCCATAATATCAAAATGCCAAACAGTCCCACAATAAAGAGTCCGGGAGTGTAACCTAAGTACTGAACTGTAGCTCCAGCAACTCCCTGAAACATATGAGACAAGATTCTTAGTATCATTCTCAAATTTCTAACTGCCACATAAATAAGATTGATGCCACTCAATAAAACTGACCCTTATGTTTGATTAAAAAGTGAAAATCCAGCATAACACCCGGTAAAACCAAAACATCATTAAGTTTTGTTTAACTTAATAAAAAAATCCACCATTAACATCTCTTAGCAGCTTTTGCTCCCCTAATTTCAGGTCCAAAGTAACCAGTAGAAAGCAAATGCTATCAGACAGAAAAACAACAAATTGTAGGTTAGAAAATAAAATTAATTTTTGATTGCACAATTTTGAAAGAACTAGTAATATGGCTCATTCAAGATTAAGTGTCCAAATAAACTTTAATAGCACTAATTCCCACATTTGTATCAGAAAGTTTTATGCACATTAGTGTGGGTTAAAAATCAAGGGCCAGCAATTCCTCAACAGCCTAGGGATGACATTCAATGAACTTTCAGTCAATAAAATCACAAAACAAAAGCATTTTGACATCTCTCACAAGAACTTCAGGATATGATTTCCAATCAACAGTTCAGCAATCAGCACAAGCAGAAGATTTCTGGAAAAACAACTTCTTTAAGCTAAATCCAAACATTTTTGCCAAGAGTCTAGCCTCTAACACATTATTTGAGAAACAAAATTTTTAACTTCATTTTCTTTTTTAACTACTCAACACCAAGCAATCAAGCCGATAAATTTTACCAAAGAAAACTCAATCCTTTTTTCTTCTCAAACAAATTTTAAAGTTATAACAAGGTTGACCGATATTAAATCAAAGTAATCAATCATCCCAACTTGGTTTTAGGTCCTTCCAATCAAATTAACACGTCCATCTAACTAATCAATGCCATATAAAATCTGCAATCAGCTTGAAAAGTGTTCAACAACTCAGATAACAAAAATGTAAAAACAAGCACAACAGATTTTAACAATAACATGAAACGAGACATACCATACTTAGAAGCAAATAAAGCAGGCAAGACATGGAAGTCAAGCTGAGGAAATAACTCCACATTATAACAAGCAAAGAAGCAGAACCCAATCTGCTACATGACTGAAACCCTCTCACTACACAATCTTTCCAATAAATCAAAAACAACCTTGAAAACTTCCAGAAATTAACACACCCACTACAAACCATAGGCCAATGCCTCTCCATTAACAACCCCATTTTATCTCTACAGCAACCAACGGCTGTTTTCGCCTTGGAACAAGCATGTTTCTGAGATTGTAGCCATTTCCAACCATGCTTAAACAGCCCTACATCCTCCATCATCCCTTTAAGCCTTGGATCCACCTCAAAAAAAAAAAAAAAGATTAAATATTTCCTAAGGAAATGGACAGAAGAAAAATACCCATTTCAAGAATTGAAGTTTAGAGGAACTAAAACACACCCATTTTCCATTTATCAGAAAAAATAAAAAATACCCATTTGAGGATTTAAAATTAAGAGAGTAAATTCGATCACACTGTTCGTTCAACGCTAAAATTTTGCTTCACATCTAAGCTTCCACAAAAAGATTTGAACAAAAAAAAGCCAAAGATGGATGCAAATTATGACCTTTTTTACTCTGGAAATAAACCAAACCCAAAGACCAAGAGTAAAGTAAAGAAGATGATAAGGTGAGCTGAGTTGGGTGGGGTGAGTAAAAGCTAAATTAAATTAAAAAGGTACAAATTTTTTATTTTTTTGGCCTGGTTATGGTAAGAGAAAACCCTAATAATAGAAGTAGCTTTTTTTTTATTTTTTGGTACTATTATTTTTGTCTGCTTTTTCAAGGAGTACTCGTGAAAAAGAGGACTGAGTTGAAAAAGTTTGAAAAAGTTACTCTAAAGACAGAGAGAGAAGAGAGTGAGCTTTCTCTCGCTCAGCTAACTTGGAAGGGAGCAAGCATCCCTAAAATTGTTTTTCATACTTTAATTTTTTATTATAAAAATATTTTAAATAAAATTATTTAATTAATTTTTAAATTTTTACTTATTCTTTTTAAATTTTCAATTTTATATTTTTAAAAGCTTTAAAAGTTTTCAAATTTATATTTTCAAAAATTTTTAAAATTTTTAAATTTGTATTTTTGAAAGTTTTATTTACATTTTTTAAAATTTTTTGAATTTATATTTCGAATAGTTTTTAAAAGTTTTTAGATTTATATTTTTGAATATTTTTATAAGTTTTTTAAAATATAAATCTGAAATTTTTTAAGAATTTTGGTAAATATAAATTTAAAATCTATAAGTTTACGCACAATATTTAATCAAAATTTTACAAAATAAAAAATAATTTAATCAAAATCAAAAACAAAATTAAAAATTAGAAATTAATGACTTGATTAACTCTGAAATTTAATTATTTTAGATGGATTTTTTAAATTTATGGTTTGAGAGATCAGGGAGCGACGGTTTTGAAAGGAAAATGGTGTGAGAGTAGTGTGAGGACGTTTATTTACAGGTGGACATTAGATGAAAGCAAGCTCGTATTGGATTTGCTTTTATTTACAGGAAAATTGTATTACTATGATAATAATAATTCAATCTCCCAAAAAAAAAAAATTATTATTATTTTTATTTCCATCCTAATTTTTTTTTAATATATTTAAAAAATTATATTACAAATTTAACCTTTAATGAAATTATTTAAATATATTATTAATTTTTTTATTTTTTTTACTTTTTTTTTAAAACTTTTAAAGATTTCTTAACTATTTTCAAAAATTATTAAAAATTTTCGATTATTTATTTTTAAAAATTTTAAATTTTTGAAAATTTTTAAAGATTTCTAAATATTTATTCTTGAAAACCTTTAAAAATTTTTAAAAATTTATTTTCGAAAGTTTTAAATCACATTAAGATATTTTAACTTAAAATTTTACAAATTTAAACATAAAAATAAACAAAAAAAGTAAAAACTAAACAATTTACTTTTGATTTTATATTTTTTAACTTCAAATTGATGAAATTTTTTTTTGAATTTGACTTGATTGGACTTAAAACTTTTTAATATTTTAGGTATTTTTAATTGGAAAGAGAGAGAAGAGATGAGGTGTGAGAGAAAATAAGATAGGGCATTTGGATTTTTTTGTAAATTTATTTTTTTGAGTATGGGATGCATTGAGTAAAACATTGAGTATTAAAAGTAGAACAACATGTTGAATAATTGTTGGGGGTGCAAATAACAATACTCTAACAACAATTTGAAGAATGATTAATTTTATTTAATGATATATATAAAAAAATATGAGTCAATCTCTAATTAATTTTTTTTTAAATTAATAAAAATAATATATTAAATATAAAACATTAAATTTAGAGCTTGGTTAATTAATTTATATAATCATTTAAAAAAATAATATTTAACAAATTTAAAATTCAAATCTAAAAAATTATTAATTTTTTATACTCAAATTGCTATTAAAAATATAAAATATTTTTTAAATAATATTTTTATTATCTTTAATCAATGCTTATAGACACGTTTAAATTCATTTTAATTTGCTTTTCGAAAATCAGAAAATTATATGCTGTTTAATATGTTTGGTAAATTTTCAAAGCATATTAATGATGTTGTAGAATGTTAGCAATAGATTGAAGAACGTTTGGTGATGAAAAATAATGATGGAAGAGGGCCTTCGGACCCACTCGTGTTTTAAAGGGACTTTGCTAAAATCGCTAACATCATAAATTACGGGCATGAAATGCTCACTGTTCGTGAATTTTAGCTTTGAGCTACCTTAGTGTCATCAACCAATTGTGTTTTTTTTTTTTTATTAATGAGATGTTGGTTCAATTTCATTATTTGGTAAGTATATAGTTTTGGATTCAAGTAAAATCCTATCTTTTCCTTTTAAATCAAATCAAACTTAAAATAACAAAGCATGATTGAGGTTCATCCTATACTTTTTGAGATGTAGGACGAGAAAAGGTGCAACAAATTATCCCATCCCCTTTGCATTTGGTGCATTACACAGGGACCCCCAATGTCTCCCACGACACAACGACTCCATTAGAGAGATTGAATTTTTTTTTTTTTTATAACAAATTTATCCAATAACATAATTATTCAGATTCAACGAAAATTAATCGATTAAAGATTTTGAATTTTAAATTGTATGATTTAATTGTCGGTCATTTCAATCATTGTCGAATTAATATAAATATTTTAAAATGTTATAAATAAAAATATAGATTTTATAAATATTTTTTTAATTATATGAATTAAAAATTATGATGTAAGAATTAAAAATATTCAATTATCACTTAAAAATTACAAATTAAAAAAACTAAGCTTATAAATTTTTTTTTAATTTTCAGTTTGATAAAATATATATATATTTTTTTAACCTTTTCTAAGAAAAATAAGTTTTATTGAAAAATATGAAACTTGATTTATTAAGATATAATTTTTTTTAGTTTTTGTTTTATAAAATGTATTTATTTTTTTATTGTTAAACTCTTTTAAGAAAAATATTTTTTTAGTGAAAAGGTATAAAATTTGATTAGTTAAGATAAAAGAGTATTCAGACTTGGAAAACAAACATTAGTAGAAACGTTCAAAACAAGATAACAATCCAGTTTCAATCCCATCAGCATCTTACTAGTAAAAAAGGCTAACAGGTCAGGACTGAAGATGCATAAATTAAGCTCTTCTAAACATAAACACGAGAAGAGTCCACATCTTGACTGCATTTGAGTTGAAATCTTTAATTCTTGACATCTGTGAATCAAATCCTGATGATGAAACAAAATCACCCTTCTGATGCAAAAACTATTTGTCATTAAATCAAGCTTTGGAGATAAAGCAAATCGATATCTCCATCTGGTTGATACGATGGAAGTTCGAACTGCTTCTTCAGCAACAACACAAGTTTTGCACTAATCTAAATCAATAAAAAAGAGGTTGATACTACATTAAAGTGGAAAAATTCAACCTATAACCAAGAGATTTTATCTAATATATCAACAATGTCAACGTCGTATCATGTTGATTGATGGTATCCTTTCTTTTTTTTCGCCATTTATGATGAAAAGTTTTTTTTTTTTAATTTGTTTGAGTCTGCAATGCAGTGAAATTAACTAGAAGATGGAATTGGCCTATTCTTCTTTCTTTTGCACTTGCCTCGCAGATAGGTGCAGCTGAAGCAATAGGCCACTTGCAGTTGCTCCTGAAGCTGAATTCTGCTGCATATACTAAACAAATTCATTTCTTTTCCTCAAAAAGATGTAACACAGCAACAAACATATTACTTTGGAACTGAACTAGCAGGGGTGATAAGTGGATCCTGCATTTGACAGAGGCCGCAGAATAACAAATTATCAGGATTAGCGCAAAAGGGAAGAATGATGATTAATCAACACCAGAAAAATTTTCTTTTAATTTAACAAACATGGTACATTTACAAGAGTATACTCCGGCTATTTCAAGGAAGTACAAAATAATAACACTGCCGTGCAATTTACAAATCGGCAAGCTTCAAAACCCAAAAATAGAATAAAATGAATAATATTTGACAAATTCGTTTGCTTCGATGTTTAAACACTCTGGTCATTATATGAAGCACTGAAGGTCATAGTTGCAGAAGTTGAGGTTCCTGATGACAGGGTTGAATTGTCTAGGTTGTTTGAGCCAGTGGAAGCATTATAAGAAGATGTATACTTGGGTTCCGGGTTGGTTTTCTCAGGTCTTCGCACTTTGAGGTCCAAAAAATCAGAAATTAAGCCTGGCTTTGTTATCTTCTTCTCCTCAACATCCTTCTCGCCAGTTAGCATCTTGACCACAGATGACATAGATGGCCGGAGTTTCGGATTATCTTGGGTGCAAAGAAGACCAACCATGAGGAACCTACAAGCCTCCTCCGCATCAAAATCACCATTAAGAAATGTGTCTACCAAGCCAACCAGCTCCCTTCGCTCATAAAGGTCCCATGCCTGCAACAAGAGTTCAGTGTGTAATAAAGCCCAAACCTTTCCAATAAGTAAATTTGCAGAATTAAAAATCAAGTCATTTTACGTTGAGGAGATTGACACTACTCTTCATTCTTCATATACCAGACTATAATTGATTTTAATTTTTTCCAAATATTTTTAAACAGGAAAATATATTCATGAGCGGGTTCAAAATAAGGAAAATAGCATGCTTGACAAGAAACTTAATGCGATCTTCAAAGATGCTCAAAGTCAAAAGAAATAGAAGGAAATAGATACACTCATCATTTTTCTGCATGATCTCTGCATGGATAGAACCATCATCTCAGTAGTTGAATTCCTTCTTTTCTTTTTTTTGAAACAAGATTATTAATAAAGGAGAAACTAGAAATTTACTCAGATGTAGCTAATACTTGTATGTAACGATTAATAAATTTTCAAGGATTAATTTTTTACAAACAAAAGATTAAGGGGTTAAATGCAATTCAATGTTTCAAGGTGTTACAACTTATTTATCACTTGCTAATTTCATACGTCCCTGATTATCTCTGAGCAAAAACTGAAAGGAAGTCCCATCGCCAGTTACTCACAGGTCATGTTCCATCATTGAAATAATTGCAATAAACAAAATTTGCAACTATAATGGATAAGACTCAAATCCATACCTGTTCTAGGAGATATTGTTCTCCTATAGGTAACCGTGTATTTGTGTTACATCTCCCACTGACTATTTCCATGAGAAGAACACCAAAACCGTAGATATCTGCTTTTCGCGTCAACTGCCCCCTAATTGCATACTCTGGAGCTAGATAACCTCTATAACAGTGAATGAAAATGTTAATGACAGATCATATTTGTTGAAAGCAGAAATTGAGAGAGAGAGAGAGAGAGAGAGGCAAAATTTTGATTGATGAGCAAATATGAATTAACATTCAGTCCCGTAAGTATGATATATGCTTAACTTGATAAATGTAACTGCTAGCTACAGCGACAAAGATCCTACACTTAGTAACAATAAATTTGACAAGCAATTACTTGAAAATAGAACCTAATATAAAGAGAGAACCAACTTTAATTGGACTTTTTTTAAGTCATATCAGCCTTCCTAAAAGAAGACTAAATCAACATAATCAATAAAGACCTCTTGCACTACATAGCAATAACTTTAACTCAATGATTATCTAAACAAGAGTACTTCTCAGGCCAAAAAAAGAAAAACAAAGAGACTTCTTGTTGCTCTTGATGTTCCACTATTCTTCACCTATCCATTTTGTGGGATGTCCTGAAATATGATTGTCCATTCAGAATAGCCAAAACATACTAGACACAAGTTGTCCAAAGTAGCCTCACTTTTTCCTTTCTCTATCTGCTTTCTTGCAGATTTCACAAAGGATATTTTGAAAACCTAAAACCTTTTAAGATAAAAGTGAATAATCAAATGATGCTTGTAGATGCTTATTGCTACAGAGAAAATATCATTCACTAACTAGTAAGCTCAGAGTAACGAACCCTCTTAACAATCATAAAGCTGAAATTCCAACAGACAAAAAGTGATAGATTTTGTATTAGTATTGCTTTATACACCAATACTTACAAGACTTGGATGATAATATGATATTCAGTGCTAATTCAAAACTAAAAATATGTTTGAAGGTATTGTTGAACAAATAACAAGAAGATTGGAGGCTTACATTGTTCCAGCCACCCGAGTGCTGACGTGAGTCATGTTTGCTGGGATAAGCTTTGCCAAGCCAAAATCTGATATTTTGGGTGTTAGGTCTCTGTCAAGAAGAATATTGCTTGCTTTGATATCTCTGTGAACAATGTACGGCCGTACTTCCTCATGAAGAAAAGCAAGCCCACGTGCAATGCCAATACATATTTTAGACCGTGTTTTCCAATTAAACTGGATATTACTGCAACCACTACCTGCAAAAAAAGAGGTTTTAGTTGTGCTCAGTTTCAATGTGATTTAAACTTTATCAGGTAAGCACTGCATGAATTGGGTAAACAAGATACATCTTACACAGCAGCACTTATTCTAAGGTTAGCATTTTAAATAAAGCAGGATTTTTTAAAAAGAAAAGAAGAAAAAATACTCCTACTAATCTACATAGCTGCACTCTTTGAACATGTTCAAAGATAAAAAAGAACCACATTAAACACTGTCAGACTAAATGGTATTTACATAATAATCCAATTGTGCCCTTTCACAAAGGGGGTACCTTTTTCTCTTCATTTTCCCTTTGTATATAGTTTGTATAATGTGGATGACGGATTTTTTAAGATTATTTGTCTTTAAATTTTAGTTTTGCACAACTTTTTTGGGACATCTTAAATTAAAAGTGCAAACAGTCATGTCATGAACAGCAGAGTAAAATATATAGCAAATATATTTTTCTGAAATATATAGTTCTAGGATGGAACTACTACTATGTGGAATGAAGAATGGCCTCAATAAACATAAACTGAACTTCCAAGTGTTAAACAAAATTAGCAAATTACCAAGAAGAGTCTGAGCAAGGCTATTATTCTCAAGGTAGTTGTAGACCAAGATTCTGTGCTTATCTTCTACACAACAGCCATAGAGTTTGACTAAATTTTCATGCTCTATTTCTGAGATCACCTTAATCTCTGTCACAAATTCTCTCACCCCCTGTCTTGATTCAGCTGAAAGAACTTTTATGGCAGCAATCTTCCCATCTTTAAGCCGCCCCTGAAAATCCATAATGAGAATTAAGGACCAAGTAATGTAAAGAAGACAAAGGATCAAGTAACCAATGCTCTATATATTGAAACAGCATATAGATACCTTGTAGACAGAACCAAAACCTCCTTCTCCAATTTTATTGGCAGGGCTAAAATCTTCAGTAGCAATTCTTAATTCTTTGTATGAGTAAAATTTTACATTGTGAATATCAAATTCTGTTACAAAATAAAAAATGCAGATTAGAAGTTTTCAAATTAATATAATTTTAGGCAGAATAATCCGGTTGGGTTTAATCATAAACTGTAACTAAGGAGTCACCAGAATCTGAAGAGTTTTTTTTAACACAAGTAGAACTAAACAGAACATAACAATATACCAAGAACAAAGTTGGAAGAGTAGAAATTGAAGATCAAGAAATTTCTACAAGTTAGCATCATGGTACATAGTTTCTATTACACATAATGAAACAGAGGTCTTGACAGACTTAGAACAG